CTCGGCGGGGACTTGGCAGCCCTACCAGATCATGACAAGGGGGATTCCGAATTCTTGCTCACAAAGCACATTTAAGGGACGGGGGGGGGGGTGTCATGGGGAGGAACCCATTCCCCTTTGTTTCTCTTGGCCGTTTTGGGATCCTCCTTCCTTCCCCGGCGATGGAAATGGAAATTTCTCAGGATGCTGAATTCTGAGCGATTTCCCAACTGGAATCACGGGACGGATGCCGCCCTCTTAAACTTGGTATGACGCGGTAAGGGCGTCCTGCTAACTGCTTAGTCCTGTTTTTCTGTTTCCTCCACTAAAGGGGCTTTGTTTTCCCATCGGGAGCTTGCAAGGTCCATTTCGTTTCTGTGGGTTTTTTTTTAAAAGGTCTCTCTTCTTCTGAACGCTCAGGTATCTGTCCCGTGAACCGCGACAGCATAGACTACATCCTTTCGAAGAAGGGCACTGGGAACGCCGTCGTGATCGTGGTCGGCGGGGCCGCGGAGTCCCTCAACTGCGTTCCGGGCAAATACTCCGTGACGCTGAAGAACCGGAAAGGTTTTGTCAGGCTGGCGTTACGACACGGGTAAGGGAGAGCAAGGCTCCTGGGTCAGACCTAAAAGGTTCTGTCTGGTTAGTGTCAGAGTCTTTTTCCAACGCAAGGAGGCTTCTGCTGGTGAAACCACGCCTCTCGTGCCAGATTGGTGCTTCTTAGACTGGTGGGAGACTCCAGCATTAGTGGTATACGATCTTTGGATCCGACCCCCTTGTCTTTTACTCCACAAAATAAATCGGTTAGCCTGGAAATGCAGGTCCTGTTCGTCACTGGAACTTACCAATACCCCCCTGTGCATTTTTTGGGTTTGATGTTTATTTCCTTACTCTCTTGAAGCAACATCCAGTTCTTTGTTCTAGTAAATAGCTTTAAAATGGGATTAGACAGATTCAGCCAGTTTGGTGTAGTGGTTAAGTGCGCAGACTCTAATCTGGGAGAACCAGGTTTGATTCCCCACTTCTCTGCTTGCAGCTGCTGGATGACCTTGGGCAAGCTGTAGTTCTGTCAGAGCTGTTCTTGAAAAAGAGCAGTTTCTGTCAGAAACCTCTTAAGGTTGGAAGGTGTAAACCTCTTGATCCAGCTTAACTTCTTTTGAATGCAGTTTAACTTCTTTTTTACTGTCTTGCAATGATTGCAGCTGAAATTCTTTTTCAAAATATCCTGAAACAAACATGGTTGTTGAGATTGGAAAGAGACATGCAGTTGAATGGAATATAGCATTGTAATATAGCAGGAGCTCCTTTGCATATTAGGCCACACACCCCTAGTGTAGCCAATCCTCCAAGAGCTTACACAGCTCTTCTTACTGGGGCTACTGTAAGATCTTGGAGGATTGGCTACACTAGGGGTGTGTGGCCTAATATGCAAAGGAGCTCCTGCTACCAGTAGAGCCCTGATTTGAAATGTACCAAGAGGTTTACACCTTCCAACCTTAGAGGATTACTCCTGAGGAAGACTAATGAAATGAGTATAAAACCGGGTGATCATGGAGGATATCATGATGTTGGACTTTGCCTTGAATATGTCAGAATTTCCTAAGCAAAGTTGTTATGTTTGAAATGATATACATATTGATGTTCACATGAATTATTAAATGTTATTTTTATCACAGTGTTTCCTTGTTTTTTGGTATGTACCTACAACTGTGATCCCTTCCTTGTACCCAGGGGTCATTTCGTAGAAAAAGAGGCGCAGGAGCTCATTAGCATAACTCATTAGCATAACTTATTTGCATATGCCACACACCCTGACATCACCGGAAGTGTGTCAGAAGGCAACACCCACCGCTCAGGCTCCACTGGACTGTTCTGGATTGCTAGCTATTGGGGGGGGGACGTGCAGATCTGTCCTCGCAGAGGAGGGAGAGCTTCTACCTGAATAAAACTTGGTCTGAAAGGTGCCACTGGACTGTTTTGTACCGGGGTGTGTGTGTGTCTCTGCAACTTACCTGGCTGCTTCTTGCTCTGACTGAGGGCTGCTGGGAGCAGAGGGTGGGGCTTGTTGCATGTGCCCACCCCCTGGGATCTTTACTGCCGGAGCTCCGCTCCTTTGCGCACCGGCAGGAAATGACCCCTGCTTGTACCCAACTGGAGGTTGGCAACCCTAGGTGATGGTATACCTGGCTCGGGACGACAAAATAATCTCACTCCGCCCCTGCATCTTGGCAGCCCGTAAAAGGAAAGGTGCTTACCGAAGTATTTTTTTTTAACCTTCCAGTGCGGATCTCGTTCCCGTATATTCATTCGGGGAGAACGAAGTTTACAAGCAGGTGGTCTTCGAGGAAGGCTCGTGGGGGAGATGGGTCCAGAGGACGTTCCAGAAGTACGTCGGCTTTGCCCCCTGCTTCTTCCTTGGACGGAGCCTCTTCTCCTCTAACACCTGGGGCTTGCTGCCCTATTCCAAGCCCATCAACACCGTAGGTAAGATGGGAGCCCAGGCCGACCACTTTCTAGGGGGTGAGGAGCTAGATCTGAAGCCAGAACAAAAGAGAAACCCTGTTGGATCAGGCCAGTGGGCAAAACCCAGGGGCCATCGGGAGCTTCGTCGAGAAGATGGGTAAGACGGAGCTGGATATGGTAGCCCTGTCTAACACAGTGCATCACAGGTGTGAGGCGCGCCCTGAATTATTTTAAGATCAAACCACGTTGGGAACCCCTGACCAGTGTTCCCTCTAAGCTGAGTTAGTGTGAGCCAGCTCACGGTTTTTTAGTCTCCGGCTCACACATTTTTGTCTTAGCTCAGGAAGGGATGGCTCCAGAGCAAACTAGTTCACGCAGTAGGCAAATTGCTTGCTCACAACTTCAGTGCCGGTGTGGCGTCCTGCTTACTGGGGAGATTGTTTCTCTTTTAAACACACTCTGTGTACATGAATTTAGTAGATTTTTTGCTGCCACTAGGAATTAAAAATTCCAAATCTCTCTATTTTGGTAGAATGACCTAGTTTCTGGGCTCTTCAGAGGACTATGTGGCCCTGAAGAAGGACTGTTTTGAATGCTGGGATAAATTTCAACAAATAAGGATTTATTTATAAAAGGACAACATAGGTTTCTGGGTATCTTTGAACGGTTGTAGAAGAAAGAAAATATAACTGACAAGGCTTGGCATCACACACAGTCTCTCATATATCAAAACTCAACTCTGATAGGCTTATCTCTCTCTCACTCTCTCATATAGCGACACAGGCTAAACGCTGCCTTTCTTAGCCACACAGGCTAAACTCTCTCATATAGCCACACAGGCTAAACTCCAACTGCTTCCTCTGTCATACAGACTCTCTCACAAACTCTCCACACTCCTCTCTTCAAGACCACAGAATCACCTCATAGACATCTCTCCTCCCACACTCTCAGTCATCAGCCAGTCACATCACACTTATCTCCCTCTATCACTCTCCTTACATTACTGCAGTCACACTAAACATTTAAAGAAACACACATACCAAAACATGAAATCATTACAGCTGGTAGCTCACAAAGTAGAATTTTTGCTCACAGGATTCCACAACTTAGAGGGAGCATTGCCCCTGACTTACCTTCTTCACCATTGCTTAGTTGTGCATTGTGCATATATGGTATCTGATCTCTGGTATCTCCGGAGTCACAGCTTGTAAAGGACCTTAGCTAGAGATTCTGGAGAGGAATGGGTGTGTAAGCTAGATGACTTTTGCTAGAGGAGCCCTTCATCCCACCTGGTTGTCGCCCTTCCCTGTCTGTAACTCACCAGGCGCCTCTCTCTCCTTTCAGTGGGGGAACCGATCACCATTCCGAAAACCGAGAACCCGAGCCAGACGGAAGTAGACTTCTATCACAGCCTCTACATGAGCTCCCTGAGTAAACTCTTCGACAAGCACAAGACGAAATTCGGCCTGCTGGAGACAGACGTCTTGGAAGTCAACTGACGGCGAGAGGGTCCATCTCGCTTCGGCCATCTTGGATGGGAACGGGGGAAGAGGTGACTCGCTCTTTGCAAAGCTGCATCAAAGACGCTTTTCTGCTGGAGTTGGAGTGCTTTGTTGCCCGGTCTGTGGGTCCGGGAAACGAACCTTGACATGCAAGCGAGCTTTAGAAGGACAGAAAACAAAACAAAAGTTGTCTAAATACTCAAACGTTAGACCTTTCTTGTAACCTTCTTTCTTGGCAACGGACGCGTCTGGCGCCGCCCCTGTATAGTTCCCCATCAAACTTGGAAGAGGAAACATTTGCGTTGGGAAATCTGCAAAACGAGACACGTATCGCCACTCTCGGGCGGGGAACGGAGCGCCGGAGCCGAGGAGCGGAGCCAGAGGTTCGGTACCGCCCACCCAAATCAAAGCACTTATTTTGAATCGATGCCGGGGCCCTATTCCGGCAATCTAAATAGGGGAGGCTGGGGCTGTTATGCTGCCCCCAAGTGGTGGCTCCACATAATGCAAGACGATGGCGTTGCAAACGACTTTGTTGGCGCCTGGATTGAGAAATAGAAGGGAAAGGGCCGTGGCTGATTGGCGGAGCACATTCTCGGAACGCAGAAAGTCCCAGACTCCATCCCTGGCATTTTCAGTGATGGAATCTGGCAGCAGGTGATGTCAAAAAGCTCTGCTTCGGGCCCCCGGGGAGCCCCTGCTAGTCAGAGTAGGCAGGACTGACCCTGATAGACCGTGACTGATTCTTGGGGGCTGAGACAGATCGGTGAGCCTCCAGAGGCCGCTGCTTAGACTGGTCCCCAGGGGAAAGGGTCAGAACGAGAGGGACCTAGTTCATCATCTTAAACCCCCGCCTTTCAATGCTGAAGGATGAAAGGACTTCCAGCGGCTTGGTCGCAGTTGATGGTTTATATCAGGGGTCCCCAACGAGGTTCCCGGGGGCACCATCATGCCCTCCCCCCCAAACCTTCCCTGGTGTCGACCAAGTTCTTTTAGAACTTGGATGCGGCCAGGGCTATTTTTGGGCAGGAACGCACAGGAACGGAGTTCCGGCTGGCTCCCAAGTTGGCCACGCCCAGCAGGAACTCATTAGCATAACAGGCCACACCCAACAGCAGGAACTCATTCGGATTGGCTACAATTAGGGGTGTGTGGCCTAACATGCAAAAAGCCCTGGGTTTTGACAACAAGCAAGGTAAAGAGAATAAGAAGCAAAAGGTGGGTGTGGCTGGATGGCCACACTTCTGGGAACATGGGGGTGTGGCCTAATATGCCAATGAGCTCTGCTGTCAGGGGTGTGGCCTAATATGCTAATGAGTTCCTGCTGTTGGGTATGGCCTATTATGCTAATGAGTTCCTGCTGGGCTTTTTCTACAAAAAAAGCCCTGGATGGGGCTAAGGGAGGCATTTGCCCAGCAGGTCTTCTGACTGGCTACGTAGATCAAAAGACATCACGCTAAACAGTGTGTCCTGGCAGTGCTCCCTCTAAGCTGTGGAGTCCTGTGAGCAACAATTCTACTTGGTGAGCTCCTGGCATTAAAGTTGTGAGTGAGCAATTTGGCCGCTGCATAAATTAGTGTCAGCAAGCTGCCATTCTGTTTCCTGTGACGCTTTGAAATAAATTTTGCTTTTCGTTAAAACGTGGATTTATTCTCGATGCTTGGGGATCCAACATATTGTTAGAACTGGGGCTACACAGTTAGGTCAAGCATAATAAAGGAATTTCAAACAGATACAGATCCAATGAATATCTTTCCCGCTGGCGGGCTAAGGAAACGGCGCCCCGCTTAAATGGTCCATCCAATGAATATCTTTCCCGCTGGCGGGCTAAGGAAACGGTTGCGCGCCCAGTACATGGGAACCAGGCAGAACATCAGACAAAACACAGGTGCAGTAGTCCTGGGAAAATCAATAGGCAAGCATTACAGCATCTTCTCCCCCACACAACCTCCAGCAGTTATCTTTTGCATTCCAAAGCAGGAGCAGGATGATAGAAGCCAAGCCGGGTGTAACTGGGAAAGGCTATGTACACAGAGGTCACAGGAAACAGAATGGCAGCTTGCTGACAATTAGTTTGCTCTGGAGCCCTCCTTCCTGGGTTAAGACAAACAATGTGTGAGCCGGAGTCTAAAAAGCTGTGAGCTAGCTCACACTAACTCAACTTAGCGGGAACACTGGTCCTGGAACACACACTAGGAGCAGGGCAGGCCGGCCGAGCTGGTGTGCGAGCGAGATGAGATGCGGGTACAACTGGTGCAGCGTGGTCAGAGCCTGGCTCCCCAGCTGGATGCAGAAGTAGGCAATTTGGCAGCAGTGGTAGGTTCGTGGGCAGATCCAGACGTCCAAGTCCCAACAGGGTCCAAAGGTTCAGAGGCACAAGTCCCGGATACTGAGTCCCAGAGCTGTGCAGCTGGGATACTGCCACCAGGCTGCAAATCATTGGTTGGCAGCACAGACGTCAGAGGCTGTCTGTAACCAGTTGTGAGCGGGGACTTTCTTCACATGCCCCTTCCCCTTCTGAAGAGTCCTCTGCCCCTGCAGGGTTAACTCTGCCCCCGGCTGACCCACGACACAGAGCCTCTGCCTGAAATGCTGAGGGATTCCTGTTATGTAACCTTGATTCCTGACGTTTTGTGGTCGGCTCTGCCTCCCACGGCGGCCGTTTTGTGATTGGCTCCACCTACCGTGGTAGCCATTTTGCGGTTGTGGCCACCGTCCTGTGTCAGGATCCTGAAGGGGGCCTGAGGTTTGGGGACCCCTCTTTCACATTGCCTTTTGAGCGCTCGCAGCAGAAGGAAACGAGAGGCTGTAGAATTAGCGTGCAGGACTAGAGCGGAGGGATGCAGAGATCAGCGGCCATTTTGTGATTGGCTCCACCTACCGCGGCAGCCATTTTGTGGTCGTGGCCACCGTCCTGTGTCAGAATCCCGAAGGGGGCCTGAGGTTTGGGGACCCCTCTTTCACATCGCCTTTCGAGCGTTCGCAGCAGAAGGAAACGGGGGGGGTTGTAGAATTAGCGCGCGGGACCAGAGGGGAGGGATGCAGAGATCGGCGGGGAGGCACCCAGCGGTTTTCATTTCTCACTTGCCCCTGACCACGGGAAGTCGTGACCAAGACACTCTCCGGCTTGGGTGGACTCTGCGTGGCAAGAGCCATGGTTTCAATTTTAGAAACCAGGAGGAGGAGTCTAGACCTCACCCTGGCCCAAAAAAGGACCTGCCTTTCGTTCTGTAGTCACGTCCGTAGCTGTGCCGCCTTCTGTGTTGTCTTGCCACTGCAGAATGCCGGTGTATGAGAATTGCATTTCCGGGCACAGTTACTTAGCACAAGGGCCCTTCCGGCCGAGAAGAGCCCCTCCTGAACGCACAAGCAATGCAAAATCAGAGGTTTGCGCCCCATTTATGTGCTCCTTCCTTCCTTCCTTGTTGTGCAAACCGGGGTGGGAACCAAAAGCTTTTTCGGGTCATCAGCCAGTTTGATGTAGTAGTTAAGTGCGCGGACTCTTATCTGGGAGAACTGGGCTTGATTCCCCACTCTTCCACTTGCGGCTGCTGGTGTGACCTTGGGCAAGCCGTAGTTCTGATAAGAGCTGTTCTTGAAAAAGAGCCGTTTCTGCCAGAGCTCTCTCAGCCCCACCTACCTCACAGGGTGTCTGTTGTGGGGAGGGGGAGGGAAAGGAGTTTGTAGGCTGCTCTGAGACACCTTTGGGTAGTGAAGGGCGGGGTATAAATCCAATCTCTTCTTCTTCTTTTACCTCACAGGGTGCCTGTTGTGGGGAGGGGGAGGGAAGGCGTTTGTAAGCCCCTCTGAGACTCTTTCGAGTAGTGAAGGGCGGGGGGTATAAATCCAATCTCTTCTTCTTCTTCTTTTACCTCACAGGCAATGTTCCCTCTAAGCTGTGGAGTCTTGTGAGCAAAAATTCTACTTTGTGAGCTACTGGCATTAAAGTTGTGAGCGAGTGATGTGGCTGCTGCATAAATGAGTTTGCTCTGGAGCCATCCTTCCTGAGCTAAGACAAAAATGTGTGAGCCAGAGGCTAAAAAACTGTGAGCTAGCTCACACTAACTCAGCTTAGAGGGAACACTGCTCACAGGGTGTCTGTAATGGGGAGGGGAAGGGAAAGGAGTTTGTAAGCCTCTCTGAGACTCATTTGGGGAGTGAAGGGTGGGGTATAAATCCGATCTCCTCTTCTTCTACCTCACAGGGGGTCTGTTGTGGGGAGGGGAAGGTAAAGGAGTTTGTAAGACGCTCTGAGACACCTCTGGGTAGTGAAGGGCGGGGTATAAATCCAGTCTCTCCTCCTTCTCTTCTTCAGTTGTGTATGGATGTAAAACACACCAGCTGCTCTCGACAAATCTACCCCCTTCCCCTTTGCCAAAGGTCCCCTGCCTTTTTGGGTGCCCTCAGATGGATGAACCTGAGGTTTCTCCCGGTCGTACTGCTTTGAGAAGAGCAGGTATTAAAAATTCAGGAAAGGCGTTGGCAGCGTGAGAAGCCCTGTTTCAGAAGGGGTAGCCGTGTTGATCTTCAGTAGAATACCTGGAGTCAAGTCCGGTAGCAGAGACCAAGAAGAAGAGAAGAGAGAGTTTGGATTTATACCCCGCCCTCCACTACCTGAAGGAGTCTTAGAGCGGCTTACAATCGTCTTTCCTTTCCCCTCCCCACAACAGACACCCTGTGAGCAATGCCCCCTCTAAGCTGTGGAGTCTCATGAGCAAAAATTCTACTTTGTGAGCTACTGACATTAAAGTTGTGAGCAAGCGATTTGGCTACTGCATCAGTTGGTTTGCTCTGGAGCTATTCTTCCTGAGCAAAGGCAAAAATGTGTGAGCCGGAGGCTAAAAGACTGTGAGCTAGCTCACACTAATGCCGCTTAGAGGGAACACTGCCTGTGAGGTAGGTGGGGCTGAGAAGAGCTCTCACAAGAACTGGTCCTGAGAGAACAACTCTGAAACAACTTGTAATTGACCCAAGGTCACACCAGCAGGTGCGTGTGGAGGAGTGGGT